CGAGTACGCAAGTTGCGGTTATTGTTTTGTGAAAGTTTTTGATTTTTTTCTTTTCCCATTTTTTTGGTTTTTGGAGAAAGAGGGGAAAAGTTTTTTTCTGACATACAAAAATGATCTACAAGGCTAAAAGGATTATTAATTTCGTGTCATATTAAAAATGATTTGCAGTACTGTAACTAAATTAGATAATTAAATGATTTACATGTCTTTTTCCTAAATTTATTAGTTTAATTTTGTTATACAAATAAGCCTTATTACATCATATGATATAATGACATTATTTCATTTATTTCATTTTTCTTATTTATTTCGTTTATATTATTTATTTATTATATTTATTTTATTTATTTTATCTATTTTCTTTATTTTATTTATTCTATCATTATTAGTAAGTATTTTTATATAAATAGGAGTAATCCATCAATGTAAAAAGAATAAGAACCGTTTTGTCTTGAATAATTCTTTTGATAAATAAACTGTTTAGTACAGACGCACTGACAGAGGCAGTACTAGTCTTTTGTTTGTTAAATAATTATTCGCACGTATTTCACTCAGTTTATTATAATTCTCTTTAATTCCTTGTTTTGTATCCTTATCTTTACTCTTCTATGTGAAGGAAACCTTCTGCTAAACTATGATATCATAGGTGATTTACTCGTGATCTAAAAAACTAGCATAACAATAATTATATCATCTAAATAAACAGCTACATATTTTTCAATTTTTTCTCTAAAGATTTTGTTCATAAGCCTTTAAAACATTGTTAATATAATAATTAAGCCAAAAGACATGATGGTGAATTCATATAGCCTATAGCTAGTAATAAATGCAGTCTTTTACTGATCCTTAAGTGCTATAGTAACTTGCTAGTATTCATTAATAAAATCAAATATTGTAAAGTATTTAGCCCAACTAAACATATCAAAAGTTCACAATACATGAAAGAGAATAACAATTTTATCAAGTTACACTGTTAAGTTTTCAATAGTCAATGTAGAACCTTAATTTGCTATTTTTCTTCTTCACTAGAACTCTAGGAAAAGCCCAAGGACTTTCTGATAGTTATATTAATTTGTTCTTCAGCATCTTATTAATTTCTTTTTTAATAAAATCTTATTTAGAAGAAGCAATCTAATATGCTCTTTGACGTATTAGCATATCAATTTCTAATAGTATATGATATATTTTGATATTGTTGTATTTAGTTGAGATAAGTCATTTGCAAATAAATCATCATTTTACTTGAGAAAAATAGTTAACTGTTGCTATTATTTTTTTTCTAAAGATGCAGTTATTTTAGGAATCTTTGATTTTTCTTTAGGAATATTTGAAAGCAATTGCAAGTATTCTTATTTCTTTTGACAGAAATTATAAATATTTATTAATTTGTCAAGTCATTTATGATACTAATATCAATTTCTTGACCTTTGTAAATAGTATTTCTATTTTTCATTAGTAGGAGATTGAACATCAAACATTGCTCTAAATTTTCATAATATTGCAGTAAATAACATTACTTTTGAATTAGAATTTAATCTAGCTTAGCTTCAGCAAAAATTGGCTGACTAATATTATCTTCTAAAACTACATAATATCATTGTAAATTAAGATTTCTTTTTCATATTCTTTACAGAGTTTATTATAGGTGTCAGTTGTAAAATTGATCAAATATAGGTTTTTTCTAATAAATAATTAGAACCTAATGTACAATTCTGTTTTATTTAAAAATAAAACTTCTTTATTCTAATAAAATTGTGCTTGATATTTGGTAAGTTAATCATTACCAGCCACTATGTAATAGTCATTAAATTCAGTAATATTAATGTTTATTGGAATTTTAACATTATTGATTAAATTAGTATATTTTATACTTGTTCTAATGGTTGAGAATGTCTACCTTGAATATTTATTATTATAATTTGAAAAGATCCTCTATTTTTCATTCTAATTGCTGTAAAAATGATTTAGATATTATATTTTCTGCTGATCCAAAATCTAAAATTAAATATATTAGTTTTTCATCTATATGAGCATAATAATAAATAGCTTGATTTTCTCCAGTATACTCACCCTCTGAAGATACTGTTAGTAATTTAAATAAAGATATGGTGGATAACTAGAAGTAGAGGTCATATAAGTAAGTTGTGATAACAAGGTACTCATTAATAATATATATAAGTTTTGATTATTAGGCATCATTGGAATATGATATAAAAGTGTAGCATGTTAACCTCCATTTGCTACAAATCTATTTTTTAGTTAGATATAAATATTTTCAGTTCTTATATTATTTACAATGTAGGTAAGGTGTTTTTAGTTAGGTAGTACAATTTCATGCAAAAATGTTAAATTGTTTGCGGTTATAATATTTATCATTATTGTGATGATTATTTTTTAGAATTTGACAGTCTTTAGGGAAATGTCTAGTTTTTCCATAATTAAAGCAATTACATCTACCACTATTTAATCAGTTTTTTCAATTGTTATTCATATGTTCATTGGTAAATCTAGGAGTCGCAGTAATATTTGATAACAAGTATTTAAATTCTTTGATTAATTTTTTATTATTTTTATCAATAAGCTGTTGCATATTAGCAGGTTGTTTTTTTTCCTTAGATTCTTCACTTTAATTCAAGTTGATAGAATAATATCTCTAAATAATACTACTTTAACTAAGTGAGCTCTATCGATTGTTTCTTCTAAAACATGTAGAGTAGCAGCAGCAAGAGGATATGCAATTTAGATTGTTATCCTTGCAAGAACTGTTTGATTTTTTCATTCTCTGGAGTATTATATTTTGGATTCAGCTTTAAGTATAAGGATCTCACCTTTATAGTATATTTCTTTACAGATTGTTCAGATCTTTATTTGTATTATTAAAAGGCAGATCTCTATTGCGTTTATCTATAGATAATGCAATAATATTTAAAAAAATAATAGATAAAGAATTAATGTTTGTATTATCAATCACGATCATTATCCTAATAATGTAAATTCTTTTCAAATTTTATTTTATTAAACCAGGTAAGAGCTGATCTTTTCATAAATGATAATACTAATATTAATCTTCTTTTATCACTAGAGTCTTAGTTACCTTTTTTTAAACGTAAGAAGATCTACAAATCTAGCTTTTCTTGATCCTGAGAATTCTACTGATAATAAGATATTTTGTAACCTTTTAGCATTTGAAAGAGTTAAGGTTCATTAAGCAAATTGATATTATTAATATTCTTTGTTAAGGGATCAACTTTATCTCTACTTTCAGAAAAATTATCTTCTGAAATTAAGATGGATAACAAAGAACTATCATAATAAGAAGATTAACATGATTACCTATGATGACTTTTACTTCACTTTTTCTTATATCCAGTTTTTGTTTGTGTAGTGTTATCTGTTTGTTTATTTTTACCTTTCACATATGAGGATTTAGCATCATTATTATCCTTATTTTCAGAGTCAGAAGTAATGTAAGATTGATATATTTGCCTGTTATTTTTAGAGCTAGTGCCCCAGTTTTCTAGTCTAATACTACTAAATCTATAGCTACTTCTAAGCCCTGTACTGCTAGGATCGCTAAAACAAGAGAGACTGCCACTTCTAACATTAAGCTTCCATACAGAAACTGAGTCAAAGTTAGTAGTGTCTAAAGTATCCTTAAAGTTTTGCAAACTTTTTCTTTCTTTTTCAGTATAAGGTTATTTACAAATGCTTGACTAAGTAGTGGTAACAGTTTTTGGATGTGTCATTTTTGCAGTCTTCTGATAATGATTTTTCTTTATATTCAATACATAATCTAATAGTTTGGTCTAATGTAGTAGAAAGTACAAGCTTATTAAAGTACACTCATTAGAAGTTAATAGTTAGCACAGTAGTAGCTTGTTCAAATGCAGTTACACTTTTATCTGAGTGAAAATGTTGAAAATGTTGAAAATGTCATTTATATTAATATGTGTGTTAAAATAATTATAAAAGTTTTCTTTTTTATATTTGTTTTATTATATATTACTTAAATTTATTATATTCGTTATATTAATTATTTTTATTATTAGATATATTCATTTAAAATGAAAAAAATTATTATTTAGAAACTTTTTATATAACCCGAAAATCCGCTTTGTTCAAAGAAAAGGATAGACGGGTAGAAATCTTGACATAATAAAATTCCACGTTACGCTTGCAAACTTTACCGTGTTTTCATATCGACTGACTAATAACCAACTACACAAAGAATCATATTAAGTAAATTGTTGTATAAATCTTTTTTAGGCGGGGTGTTAGATTTAATCGTTGTTTGGTTAACCTAGCTACGGTTCAAAATGAGTTTACTCCGGTTAAAAATTAACCGTTCCAACCTGCAGTTATAATGAAAAGAAATCTTTATCATTGTTTATTGAGATAAGAAATAATTTAATGTACAGTAATTTGCTTGTATTGATTTGATTATATCTTGTTATAAAAATTTAATAGTTATAAATTATCGCTATGCGTTATAGTATTTCATTTTGTTTTCTTTTTTGATGCCATTTATAGCCAAGAATTCCAATTATCATTAAAAATACGGTACCCACAATTCCGCTTAATGCACCAATTACAAAATAAAATACTGGAGAAGTCGGAGGCATTGTATTTTTCGGTAAACATGTATTTGAAGTTGTAGGCTTATGTTCAAATTTATCAACCCAAACAAATTTATTAGAGTTACAAATATCTAACAAGTAAATTTTTCTTGAAATCGAAATTTCTGTTAATCCATTTTGATGTGTTAGATAACCTATATAATTCAATAATTCATTTATTTATTAGATAAGTCA